AGGAATGCCAGTCCAGTTGTGTGGGTCCAAAATCCAAGCTCTTTCCATCGTGCTGTGATTCCTCTGCCCAGTGGGGCTAGGTGTGTGGTATACAAGGAGCATGTGTTTGTTTATGAAATAGACTTGGTGTATGAGCCCCAATGCACCCTTCCTCTAATCTCTCAACTTGTAATTAGTAGAACCAAAGATAGGTTGCAGTAGGATCAAAATTCAACACAGATTTGCATTCATTGAGTGGGTGTGGATTAGGCATCTGGATTGCAGGAAACTCCCAGATTTGTGTCTTCATTTCCTAAAATAAACACTAGGGGCATGTGAGTGTAGACACATGCACACACGTGCACACACCTTTTCCTCTTAACAAGGATTAATCAGTGCTTACTTTGTGGGAGGCGTTGATTTTAGTGATACAGTGATGAACAAAACAGACTTAGTTCCTAACTTAGTTCTGAAGAAAGATCAATATTTAAAAATTCAGCCCATAAGTGAAGATTGTGATAAACATTTTGGTGCAGTGAGAGGGAAAAAATACGGCTGGAACACACACACACCTACATGGGCAGACTGTCCATTCATAGGATGGTAGATTTTCTGGAAATACTGTCGTCCTCACCTTTGACTTTGGAGGTAAGATTTAGTAGACCAGACCTAAAATACAGCAGGCTCTCTTGTCTTAGAAATTTGCATTATTAGGGATTTCCCCTGGGTGCCCAAATTTATGCCTTGAAATTTTATCAATTCTACATGGCTGGAAGTTCTGAGGAAAACTGGTGACTCTATGAAGGGATATGAAAATTTGCTGGGCTGATTTTTTTAAAGTCTGTATGCCAGAAGACTTTTTAAAACCTCCTGCATGAGACACAGGTATGCTTTTGTTTGAAAGTCTTGGCTGAACCTGTCTTATTCTGTTTTCCAGAGAAACCATCTGAAGCAGAATCATAAACATGCATCGTAGAGAAATACCCCTGACACTTTTGGTGCTTATGTTTATAAGCACCTCAGGTAAGTAATTATAATCGATCACAAACATCCTTCATTGGTCGTCTAGAGGGAATATCAAAGTTTGGCTTATTTATGTGGAGGTGGTTACTGAAGATGTTGGATTTATTAAAATTCGTGGTTTAAAATTTTACTTTAGAAAGTTGCCAACCATTTGGTATGCCTGGAATAGAGAATAAAAGATTCATAGCGGGCTCTCCTGGTGGCTCAGTGGTTGAGAGTCCGCCTGCCGATGCAGGGGACACGGGGTCGTGCCCCGGTCCGGGAAGATCCCACATGCTGCGGAGCGGCTGGGCCCGTGAGCCATGGCCGCTGAGCCTGTGCATCCGGAGCCTGTGCTCCGCAACGGGAGAGGCCACAACAGTGAGAGGCCCGCATACCGCAAAAAAAAAAAAAAAAAAAAAAAAAACCGAAAGGATTCAGCCCTATGAGTTTATGTAGAGAGAACAGGAAGTGAAAACTTTTATCCTGAAATACATTTGTCTGAGATAAAAATTTGCTTAGTTTCACGTTATTTGAAACTGAAGCGATCACAGCCGTCCTTGTTACTGATTTTTACAAAGTTTTAACACATTGTTTCCTCCCTGAAAGGAAGGCAAAAATTCATCTCATTATCTAGGTAGTGAGGAAGGTGAGTGGGAATACCTTACAGATCTTAAAGAAAATATTAGAGTTAGAAGGAATACGTTTAGAAAGAGTCTGCTCGGACCAGGAAGACAGGTAGGCTTGGTGTCCGGTGTCAGGTACCGATTTTAATTTATTAGCAGTCACTGCTTGGAGACTCTCGCTGAGAAGGTTCTGAGACCTCAGCAGGGTTCTCTGCAGAAGAGCTCTGTGGTTGATTAACAAGGTTCTCCAAAGGCTTTGGAGAAGAAAGAAGGGGCACAATTGTTGATTTGCCTTGATCCAGTAGTATCTGGAGGAGGGAAGACATGAGCGCATGTCCCCTACTTTGAGAATTGCTAATGAAGAGATTACAGTTTGGTTATTGATACTTTCAAATAATTCAGGTCCAATATCTGGGTATATTTACTTAAGAGGATCTATGTATCGTTGAGATCCATACAGTGCAACATTACCCAGGTGTTAAAGGAAGGAGACAGACCTCTTCTTGTTGATATGGAAGGACCTGTCAGAACAGGTGAGAGAGACCAAGGTGTAGGAATGTGTGCATCACATGGAAAGGCCCCTTGCTCTAAAGGCCCCTATAGACTTAGGCTGATAACCTGGCTCCCAAGTTATTATGAAAACATGCTGCAGGCTCCCAACAGCCATGCAGCCTTTGCTGTAAGGATGCTAAGGTCCCAGCTCTATGTCCTTTGAGGTATTTGAAGAGCACCTTTTGTGAAGGGGTCTCTCTAGGCAGACTTGACAATATTTTACGTGTCAGATTCATTTAGCTGAAGTTGGATGACATCCTATTATTGCCGAAACTCAAGACAATTCCAAACCCAGACATCATTGCAGAGGCTGTAGTCTCTTGACCCTACTGGATCGTGGTGCTCCATTCTTATAAGATGGGGAGGGTGTTCTGGGCCATCCATACACCTTGAACTCCATTCATTTCTCCAATCAAAAGCCATTTCAAATCAACAAAGCCTGCAATGTTAAATGTAAGATTAGATCTCTGAAGCCATTAGCTGCCTGGGGAATATGAACTTTCAACTGCCAACCATGCACTCTGGAGAGTATGAATTCCAGGCTAGGTTTCTTTAAGTGATAACTGTCCCCAAAGAGGAATAAGTGCCTATGTCTGTACAAACACAGGCACAGGGGTTCATAGAAGCTTTTTTTTCTCATTGATTTTTATTGGAGTAGAGTTGATTTACAATGTTGTGTTAGTTTCTGCTGTACAGCAAAGTGAATCAGTTATACATGTACATATATCTGCTCATTTTTAGATTCTATTCCCATATAGGTCATTAGAGTACTGAGTAGAGTTCACTGTGCTATACAGTAGGTTCTTATTAGTTATCTATTTTATATATAGTAGTGTTTGTATGTCAAACCCAGTCTCCCAATTTATCCCTCCCCCCACACCTTTTCCCTTTGGTAATCATGTTTGTTTTCTACACCTGTGACTCTATTTTTTAAATAGGTTCATTTGTATCATATTTTTAGATTCCACATATAAGCTATATCATCTGATATTTTTCTTTCTGTTTCTGACTTAATTCACTCAGTATGACAATTTCTAGGCCCATCCATGTCACTGCAAATGGCATTATTTTGTTCTTTTTTATGGCTGAGTAATATTCCACTGTATATATGTACCACATCTTCTTTATCCATTCCTCCATCGATGGATATTTAGGTTGCTTCCATGTCCTGGCTATTGTAAATAGTGCTGCAGTGAACATTGGGTACATGTACCTTTTCAACTTATGGTTTTCTCCGGATATATGCCCAGGAGTGGGATTGCTGGATCGTATGGTAGCTCTCATAGAAGCTTTTTTATGATTGACCAAAACCTCGAAATCACCCAAATGTTCAACACCAATAGCATGGATAAATAAATTGTCAAATACTACCACGATATGATACTACATAACTATGAAAAAAAGAACAAATCACCACTACATGCAGCAATATGATTGCCCATCATAGACATAATGGTGTACAAAAAGTCCAGACACAATAGAGCACATAATGTATGATTTCTGCACTTTGTTATATGTAGATTATATCTCTAAAACTAGAAAAATAAATCAAGCTGTTAATGACCTACCATCCTTTTAGGTGTCAGCTAAAACTAACACCCACATTTACACATGCATCACACCTTCTGTGCTGAAGTCCTGAATTGTAAGATAAAGATTTAGTAACAACCACCAGATGCAAGGCTGATGCTCACTAAATGTTGTGCTTCCAGGTAGCTTTGACAGCCATGTTTTCAAAGAGTGTTTTTGCCATTAGAGCCACTTCCTCTCTACCTTGTGGTTAACAACCTTGTGGTTAAAACCAGACAGTTGCTTTGAGAAATAAACCCTGACTATAGAGAAAGCATGTTCTCTGTGGCCTCAGAGAATTGCTCTGTTCAGTTTAAGAGTTCTCATTCTCAAAATACAGTCAAAGATTGCTGCCAGAAGACAGGATACAGGGAAGGTCCATTCACACTGACTTTGAACTGTTGGAAGTGAAGGAGGAGGGAAATGATGACCCTGTACAGCACAAAGCATCAGACAAATTTCTAAAGCCGGAGTATCTGGGTTAGTTGAGAAAGAGGGAAGAAGAGAGAGAGACAGAGACAGAGACAGAGAGAGAGACGGGGGGGGGGGGGGGGATTTTTTAGAGAGAGAGAGAGAGAGAGAGAGAGAGAGAGAGAGAGAGAGAGAGAGAGAGAGCTCAGAAAGAGGAAGTGACAGATACCCAGATTTGCAGTGAGTCAATATGAATTAATTATCAGTATGAATTGTATGCATCATGTATTGAGTATCCACATGGTAACCTAGAGAGGTAATGGATTTATACACAGATAGGCGCACCTTTAACCATCCCCACGTCTGCCCAGGGAATGGTTAGGTAGAGTGGTTGAGAACAAGACCCGTGAGACTTCTGACGATACAAGTGGAAAACTCTGAGGTCTCTAGGTTTCTCTTTTTATTTTCCTTGGAGATTCCTCAGCTAGGGATGTTTTGGGGTAGGTGTGGCAACACTGTGACTTTGGTGGCTTTCCTTAAGAGGAAGTTGTAATGTGTAACATTTCCTTTAAAAGATTACAGTGAATTTATGTGTCTTCTAGCTTTGGTAGGTTAAGTTCCAGTATCTTCCTGTTTGGGAGAAGCTGTTGGAAGGTTTTTCTGTCTTCATTTATATTCTGAAAGTACCTTAGTGTTAGAAGGATTGACCTCCTGGTTTTTAGTGTTGGAAAGATTGACCCTCAAGTAAAAGAATCCACAGAAATGAGACACTGAGATTTTTCAGGATGTTACTAACCCAGCCTCTTCACCTAATGCATTAGGGAAAACAATTTACCTTTGTCATTCTGTTTTTATATTTTTCTTTTACTTGGCTAATCTTTAGAAGAAACTTGCACCTTGCGTCTTCACATGACTGCAGTTGAAGGGGAACCTTTCTATCTGAAGTATTGCTCATCATCTGAGCGTGAGAATAAAACAACCACCATAAAATGGTACAAAAATGAATCGCATGGACCCCTTGAGCTGAGCTCAAGTAGTTCACCCAGAATTATCTTGCTCGATTATGTTTTGGAGTTTTGGCCAGTTCATTTGAATGACAGTGGATCTTACTCTATCCGAATGGGGTGAGTATACCTTCTCTTTGTGTTGGCGTATTTCATAGCACTCTTGGACTTTGTTCAGCAAATCAAATATACAGTCGTTGGGAAGGTCAGATACTCCATCCACTTCCTTCTCCCTACTCTTCCTACAACATGAAATAAATACTCCATTCTTGAAAAATTAAATTAAATACTGCCCTGTGTTTATTTTCTTCGTAATCGTAATGAAAGGAGATGACCTTAGTATGATTTACTTTTAGGTGATCCTTGCCAAAGATAAGTGAGGATTGAATGAAATTCATTTTTAAACTCAGCTGCTTCTGTTGCCTAGAGCTGCCGGTCAAAGGAAATAAATGGCGAGGGCTTCGTAGTGTTATGAGCAGATAGTGAAGGAGGGTAGTGTCAGCTTCCTGGGTGGTAACCTCAAGCTAGGGAGATGGGTTGGTATTGGTGTAGACACATCCTAGTCCAGTTTTCAGGGGTTTTCTGAGAGCCAGGTGGTGGTACTGGTAAAAGACATGTGTGTCAGCCAATGACAAATTTATAGCCAGGGACAGTGAGAGAGGGGAACACCGAAAGGGTTTTGCACAGCCTTCTCAGGCTAACCCTAGAGTCTTCCAGGATATTCGTAGTGAAGAATCCTAAATTCTGTGAAATGACGGCAACCCACTGAATGTGTCCATGATTATTACTGAACTTGGTTCTCTTTATACTTTATTTTGTGAGATGGGGAAGGAGTAACTGGGACAAGAAAACTTCTATGTGATGAACCGTTAGTGAGAACATTGATGGCATAGTGTTTATCCAGTACATGTGTGATGTTGTGTCTGTACTTAGGTATGTGTGTATGTATGTGTGTATTTTTAATTTTATTTTTTTATTTTTTTGCGGTACGCGGGCCTCTCACTGTCGTGGCCTCTCCCGTTGCGGAGCACAGGCTCCGGACGCACAGGCTCAGCGGCCACGGCTCACGGGCCCAGCCGCTCCACGCGGCATGTGGGATCTTCCCGGACCGGGGCACGAACCCGCGTCCCCTGCATCGGCAGGCGGACTCTCAACCACTGCGCCACCAGGGAAGCCCCACAGTGAAATCTTGATAGCACTCCTGTGGTTTTGCACAAAAAGGGGTCATTTTTGTTTGTTTTTATATATGGGAACTCCCAGGAGTTAGAAAGAAGTTCAGAAACTCTTGTTAACCAATGAATTTTATGTGACCTTTTAAGAGGGACGATTCCAGAAGTGAGTCACAACTGGGTCTTTTCAAACTAAGGTAGAATGTATACTCACAATAGGGGTAGAGGAAGAAGACCTCCCTGATCTGAAGAAAGATTTGATTTAAATGCACAAACTATTCTGGACAAGGCAGAAAGGACAAATTGATGGGGAGAGTCAGTCATCTACGAATGTCACTTGGAGACAGGGAGGGACAGGGGCATTAACTGTCTTTCTGATGTGAAAGGTGGAGAACACAGCCTGGGGTAGGAAGAGAAAGTGGACTCGTCAGGTGGAGGCAGGATGTCAGAGAGGCATGTAGGGACCAGGAATAGGACAGGGAGGGTGGCGGGCTCAGAGTGCTGTGTGATAAGCTTTGAAGGGGTTGGAGGCTGATGAATAACGTGAGACTAAAGCGATGGTGGGCGCAGCAGCCTTGACAGTGGTTTTGAAAATAAATGGGACCCTACACAGGAGAAGGTGGTTTTGAACACCTGGGAGCATTGAAGATAGAAACTTTTTCAAATATAGTGCAACTGGTGAACAGTATTCTGTTTTTGCACAGAGGTGTGTGTGTGTGTGTGTGTGTGTGTGTGTGTATGCATGTGTGTATGTGTGCATGTATATGTGTGTGTACATCATTTGGGTGAGTGAGTCTTTGTAGTTTTGTGTGGGAGTCATCAATGACCAGACCCTACTCCTGGGATCCTCCTTTAATTTTTCAGGAGTCCTCTACTAATAATCAAATGTCTCTGGAGACTGATTCTTTAATCCTACAGCGAAAATCGCATTGTCTGATCAAAGTTTTGTGAGAGTATTAGTATTGTACCAAGCACTCCTGGCCTTGAGGGCCAAACTGATGTGCATTTGCATCTTGGCCCGACTGTGTACCAGGTGTGTGACCTTGGGCGAGTTATTTAACCTTGCCTGAAGGTTAGGCTTCTCATCTAACATAAGGAAAAGAGTCATCTCAGTGCACACACATGGTAAAATACCTGGAGCTCTGTGAGTGCCAGTTTTCTGTCTATCTGATTGTAGACTCAAAAGGAGAGCTGGAAGAGCCTCTGGGGGGCGGGTACAAATGTGTCAGGCACACAGGACAACGTAACCTCGTGTAGTATTTAGTATATGGATCTCTATATAACGTGCAGTTCAAGCAAACATGAGATTGCAAACATTTTCTTTTTTAAAAGATCATTTCCACTACTATATTTAAAATGGATAACCGACAATGACCGACTGTATAGCACAGGGAACTCTGCTCAATATTACGTAACAACCTAACCCCCAAAAAATTCAAAAAGAATTGAAAAAAATAGACACATGTATGTGTATAACTGAATCACTTTGCTGTACACCTGAAACTAACACAACATTGTTAAGCAACTATACTCCAATATAAAATAAAAAGTTAAAAAAAAGATCGTTTCCAAAAATGCTGTTAAAATTTTTTCCTCCTCCATAGTCCTAACTTCTAACCAGAAGGAACAACAATGACATCTATTCAAACCAGTTTTTGCTTAGTAATGTACTTAAAGTGCTAATATAACTACATGGAGAGCAGCCACTCCAGACATGGTTTACTCAACAGTAGGAGAAGAGGATAGGAACAAAGTGCCCTGAGAAATATAAAACGCAGTGTATATATACAGACCTTCAGAAAGCATTATAGTCCTCATGAAACCACCTCCACTCTCCCATCCTGGGTTAAGAATCTTTGAACCTGTCCATCTCTAAAGATCGTTGATGTTTTAAACATTTCTGTCCTGGCATCCATAATACATATGGTCTGATGTAGGTTTGTGTGTGTGAGTGTGTGTGTGTGTGTGTGTGTGTGTGTGTGTGTGTGTGTGTGTTTAGGACATCTTGGGTTTTTCTCATTTACTACCCCCTACCCCCGCTCCCATGGCAGTTATTAAATTTCTTGCTGCACTGAACCAAAAAGAGACAGAGCAGGATTTGGGCATCAATGAATGAGTCTCTCTATACAAAAATAAGGGAAATTTTTCACTGGATTGGTTACTAAAAGGTGGTATTTGCAAAGTCTCTGTACTAATGATAAAATATGTCTAATCCTTTATTTCCTAGAAATGATACTCATAACTGGAAATTAAATATCATCAGAAGACCTAAACACAGCTGTTTTACTGAGAAACAAGTAATGAGTAAATCTGTGGAAGTTAAAAAATCTTTGCAGATAGCCTGTGAACATAGTTACTATCAAAAACTGGTCAACAGAACGTTATTGTATAAGGTAACGCTTTTAAAATATTTTAACTTAAAACTTGACAGATAAGGCAAAATTCCAAAGTGAGGGTCTGATGGCTGTGAAGCATTTTGGTCTTGTAACATACAAACTATGAGTCCACACATCTTAGGTGGCCTGTCTGAGCTCCTACATGTAACGCAAGTGTCAAGGTTCCTGCCCCATGTTAGGCATTCAATAAATGATAACAGCTTCCTCTCCCTTGCTTAATTTTCCTTTTCTTTCAAAAAATTTAATTTTTAGGAATGCTAGTTCATTTTCTTCTGCTGCATATACTTAAAATTTTAAATTCTGTTGTATATGTTTGTTCTGAATATATGCATTTACAAAATTGGAAGATGGAAAAAATGAATGATGAAGATAGCAGAGATCATTTATAATCCCACCAGCGAGAGAATAGGGTTTTTCTCCATGTAAGCATCTACTTTTAAAAAGTGGTATTTTTCTTTATCCACTAAAAATTATATTGTGATGATTTCCCCACATCTTTAAACATTTTTCCAAACATGGATTCCATTGTGTATACACTTGTATCTAAGCCCCTGTTATTGGACATTTGTTAATTTCCTACTTTTCACTTTTATTTATAAGGCTAAAATAAATATCATTCTCATAACTCAGAAGGTATATTATGATTTTATTCTTTAACTAAATCCCTAAAAGTAGAATAACTGGATCAAAGGCTATGAGCATGTTTATGGCTTTTGATTTAAATTATCAAGCTGCTCTCCAGGGAACTACACCAGTTTAAAACCCTCTTTTTCTCATATCACTACCACATGGGAATGAATACTTTTTTGTTCTTTTTGGTACACGGGGCCTCTCACCGTTGTGGCCTCTCCCGTCGCGGAGCACAGGCTCCGGACGCGCAGGCTCAGTGGCCATGGCTCACGGACCCAACTGCTCCGCAGCACGTGGGATCTTCCCGGACCGGGGCACGAACCCGCGTGCCCTGCATCGGCAGGTGGACTCTCAACCGCTGCACCACCAGGGAAGCCCGGGAATGAATACTTTTAAGAACATTTAAAAATCTGACGTGCAAAACTTCTGTAACTCTTAGTATCTTTCCCCCATTTCTTTCCTTAATAACAAGTTAAACATTTTTATGTATTTACAGCATCTTAATATTACTTCTCTTGTGGACTATTTTCTTCAGTTGATGTGCCTTTTACTTGTGTTGTAAGAGCTCCTTTAGACAATCCTATGGAAATTGTATATACGCAAGTATATATGCAGTCACATGTACATACATAATATGCATACACACATACATGCACACACACAACACAACTTATATTATTTCTATAGAGGAACAAATCTGAAAAGTGTACCTCTGTCTTGGAAACTTTGAAGAGCTGTGAGAGGGGGTGGGGTCTGAAGAGACGACCTTGAGAAAGTTCAAGCTACTGATGATGATTCCTTAGAAATGTGTGTTTGTAGCTTTTGCTTGAACACCGTTTACTTGTGATTTTTCAAGGGAAGCTCTTATCCAAAATGTTTTCCAAATATCTGTATCAGCCCTGAGTTGACTTGACTCTATTTCCTGTCACATGTACAAATGTTTTTACAGTATATATAAATTTGTGGGGATCAGTGTACTGGGTTTTAAGAAATCCCTCTATGCAGCTATTTGATTTTAGAAAATAGACGTATTGAGAATGTCTTTAGCTAGAAAATTGAGGGGAGGGGAACAAGGAAGCTAGATCAGTAAACGATTGGAAAAAAAATAAAGATATTTTTATATGCCTTGGAATTGATAGTTTAATATGCCTTAGAAAAAATAAGTTGGGGTTTATAAAAATTTGGTGTATGCAGAAACAATTCGCTGATGTGAGATACACATGTGGGTGCTTCACAAGCCCATTCTAAGCACCCTCTGGGTCTATGTCCGCTTGCTACCAGCTTTGGCAGCTTTGAGAGGAGTCTGTGGGCAGTAGCTGCTCCTTGGTTGATATTTCCAGGAACAGTGTCACCTAGTGAAGTTTAGCAATTCAGTTTCCATTTTCCCCATCTCATTCTTAGATTGCTTCAGAACCTATTTATTGGTACCTGATGGCTGGATTGAAAAAGGTGGACTTTTTGTTATTATTAATTCCTACAACATACAGAAATTTGTGAGAGAGAGACATGTTTGTGTGTGCCTATACATTGGAATATTTTTCATGCATTTCTAATCAGTCCACTGTCTTCTGGTGGAGGACATCAATGGGTATGGGTAGTCTGCTAGGTACCTGGTTCTCTGAGTAATTCTGTTCCCACCTCCACTACCCATCCCCAGGATGGGTAGTCCTGAATACATGGAATTCAGCTAAAAGCATTAAGAAATAGAATTCCATGGAAAGTTTTGATCCAAAGCAGGGATATTTTTTGTTGTACTGGTTTTTTTTCCTTTCTCCTATTCTTCGCTCTCTTTGTGTGTAAAGAGAGAGATTAAAGGGAAATGAGGAAAGCAGCTATAGTGCCCCCTATACTTTATTTCCCAGCATGTATTAATAATAATGATAACACCAGGAATGGGACTCTATTTCATTGTTCCGGTAGAGGCAGTGCCAGATCACTGAGACATTTGCTCAGAAATTGCTCGTTTTTATTCTATTTCCTTCTTTCTCTAAAGATCTTTAACTTTAAAATTTTGAATTCTCGTCATATGATACCACTCTCACTTAAAATATTTTAACTTGCTCTTTTTAATAACAGAACTGTGAAAAGACAGAGAACAATCAAAACCCATTTTTAAAGAAGAATGCAGAGTTTAACGATCAGGGATATTATACCTGCATGTTTTTTCTTCTTCATAATGGCAAACTATTTAACGTCACCAAAACCTTCAATATAACAATAGTCGGAGGTAAGAGAAATCTTAGAATCGGGAAAAAAAAAATGTATCTTAGTAAAATGGAATATTTTCTTTTTTTCTAAAGCCGTACGGGAAGCCAGAGGCAAACTTAGTTGGAGTCGTGACCACATCACTAGTTCAAATATAAGGGTGAAAATCATTTTGGCATCACCTGCCATGCTGAAAAATTTGGGGGGCGATAATAATGAAAGTTTATATAGCTGAACCTCTGATGCGTCAGTTCTCTTATTCGGTATTTGACTAAATTGTGGAATCTTTTGTTATTAAGCATCTGCTTGCACTCAGTAAATACTTATTGATGGGTGTCTATATTCAATAAACTGTACTGAGTATTGGGAGGTAAGGGAAGCATGGAAATACAAAATGAAGTGAATAATGTACGATTCTCAGGAATTTGATTATAGTCAGGAAAGGTTGAAGCCAAACCCGGCCTCTGGACCCCGACACCGAATTAAATCTCTGAGACAGAGTTTTGGGTGAAGCAGAAAAGAACAGCTTTATTGCTTTGCCAGGCAGAGGGGGCCACAGCGGGCTCATGCCCTCAAGACTGTGTGTCCTGCCCTGGAGGGGGTCCTGAGGAGTTTCATAGTAATGGTTCAAAGAGGGCGTGGTCAGCTCGTGGACACTCCTCTGATTGGCTGGTGGTGAGGTCATCGGGAGTCGGCATCATCAACCTTCTGGTTCCAACAGGTCTGCTGGGATCTATGTGCTTACTGTAGTCGACCTAAAAAATATGCACAACCTAAAAGCTGAGGGTTGTAAAAATATGCGCGAACTAAAAGCTGAGAGTTATGTTTTATTCAGCGGGAATTTTTAGGATTTCAAACCTGGGAGGCAGCATCTCAAGTAACCCTGAGAGAACTGCTCCGAGGAAGCGAAGGGGGGACCCAGGTTAAATAGAAGTTTTGCAACAAAGGGCAGGTAGTCTGAACGTCAAAAGATTATTGTTAATTAAAGAAAACCAGATATCCCAAGTTAAGGAATTTATCGCTTTTCTATGTATGGGAAGACGCGAGAGTCTGGGCTCTCTGGCATCATTCCTTTGATGTGCACCTCAGCTTTCTGGGGCCAGTATCCTGTGTTTTCACACCCTGTGTTTCTTCAGGGCACCCTAAGGAGTGTCCACAGTCTGATGGCTGCTAGATGGTAGGTATTCTTTCCTTCCTGAGTTTCCTCAGGGCTCACCAGCTCACTTGGAGGGCTGCAATCGCTGATGACTGTGACATCCTTTGTTTACTGATAGGGCAGGCAGTATTCCATTTATCACCATTAACTTCTCCCGCCTGGAGGGGGTTTCAGTATCTGCAAAACAGCTCAAGGGTATTGTTGTGTGCATCCCTTGAGGGGAACCAGGACCCTGCCCCAAGGCTGCGCTGTTGTGTCCTGACTGCTACTCCCTGGTCTCTGCATCCGCTCCCTTCCCTGATTAGCATCTGTTTGAACCTGTCAATGGAACTCGGGGACGGTCCTGGAGGCTGAATGAAGCCTATTTCCTGTAATCCAGAAATGGGGGACACAGAAAGGCTTTTGTGCCCAGGAGCCGCACAGGGCCCTGCTCAGTATCGAGGTGATAAGCCACATAGAAGCACCGTAGAATATGAAATTGGAGTCATCTGTGAGGTGTTAAGGGTGCAGAGAGTCCAGAGGTAGAATAGATGTCAGAGGCTCTGTTTGAGCTGGTTCTCAGAGGCTGCGTGTGATGGATGGGCAGAAGGACGTGCTGGGGATGGGCTAGGTTAAGAACGTATAAGGAGCACAGGCGTGGCTGTAGAAAAGGGCTGTATATTTTGGGATGATGGCTACTAGTCTGGTTTATCATGAACCCAGACCATATATAATGGAAAAGCTGAAGCCTGGAATTTTAGGGTGATAGAGACCCTGGAAGTAATTTAATTAAACCCTATCCAGTGAAGATATCCTTCGTATGACTCAGCCAATAATAGATCATTCAGGAACTACCATGGAAATTACCAAATCACACAGCAGATGGGTCCAGATTTTTTAAAATTAATTAATTAATTCACTTTTGGCCGCGTTGGGTCTTCGTTGCTGTGCATGGGCTTTCTCTAGTTGCGGCGAGCGGGGGCTACTCTTCATCACGGTGCGTGGGCTTCTCATTGTGGTGGCTTCTCGTTGCGGAGCATGGGCTCTAGGCACGCGGACTTCAGTAGTTGCAGCACTCAGGTTCAGTAGTTGCAGCACGCAGGCTCAGTAGTTGTGGCTCGCGGGCTCTAGAGCACAGGCTCAGTAGTTGTGGTGCACGGGCTTAATTGCTCCGCAGCATGTGGGATCTTCCTGGACCAGGGCTTGCACCCGTGTCCCCTGCAGTGGCAGGCGATTCTTAACCACTGCGCCAGCAGGGAAGCCCTGGGTCCAGATTTTAATGATTGATTTTAGAGAAGTCTTTTTTTCTTATTGAGTCCAATTACTCCTTCTTGTAGCTTCCACTCACTGTTTGTGTTTGCCTTGAGTAACCCCACAGATGGTCCGGTCCCTTCTGAAAATGACAGCTCCTTCGAGTGTCTGAAGACAGGTGGCTTATCCACCCTTCACGTTCTTTCCCAGCATCCAGGAAGCTGTAAACTCCTGGGATGACTCATTCAACAACGCTGTGGGTTCACAGTTAGCGGAGCTCGTCGACTTTAGCAGCCTTTTCCCTCTTCTCTCCAGCCATCCACTTATATAGCTCTACTCCACGCATTGCGAGTGGACAAAGTACCACAAACTTCCTGTCTCCAAACTGCACAAATGTGTTAGCTTACAGTTCCGGAGGTCAGAAATCTGAAACGGGTTCCCTGGGCTAAAATCAAGGTTTTGGTAGGATTGCATTCCTTCTGGAGGTTCTGGAGGAGAATCAATTCCTTGTCTTTTGCAGCTTCTAGAGGTGCCTTGCATCCTCGGTGCACACCCCGTCCTCCATCCTCAGAGCCCACAGCGCAGCATCTTCAGATCTCTTTCACCTCTTCCTTCATCTCGTCATCTCCTTTTCTGACTCTGACCATCTGCTTCCTGCTTATGAGGATGCTTGTGATTACACTAGGCCCACCTGGCTAATCCAGAACACCCTGGATTTCGGAATGATCCGAAAATCCTAAATTAAATCATATTGCAAAGTCCCTTTTGCCGTGTAAGGTATAATATTCAGCATCTGCGGGTTAGGACGTGAACACCTTTGGTGGGGGGCATTATCCTGCTTGTCACGCCCCATAGCCTGGGTATCCCATAACTAAATTCTTAAACTCAATAAGTTCTCTTTATCTACCTTAAATTCTTCAGTTTGACTTTCTTTAATATCATATAAATCCTACATCTCTGGTCCCTTGACACTTCCACCGCCAACTCCCTCCCTTCATCCATCTCTGCTTTCCGCCCATCAGCTCCTCTTTCCTTCCTTCTTGGAAGGAGCAGTAAGAATATCCATTATCGGGCTTCCCTAGTGGCGCAGTGGTTGAGAGTCCGCCTGCCGATGCAGGGGACGCGGGTTCGTGCCCCGGTCCGGGAAGATGCCACATGCCGCAGAGCAGCTGGGCCCGTGAGCCATGGCCACTGAGCCTGCGCGTCCGCAGCCTGTGCTCCGCAACGGGAGAGGCCACAGCGGTGAGAGGCCCGCGTACCGCAAAAAAAAAGAGAAGAATATCCATTATCAAAAGAGCATGCACAAGACCAGGAATTGTGCCAGATACTTTCATTGAACCCTGTGAGCTTGTGACCTTGGGTGAGTTAAATGACTGAGTTTTTCTCTGCCTCTCATTCCTCACTAGTGACATGGGACAGTAATGAGTTGAGTCATCCCTCATAGGGTTGCCTTGAGGACCAAGTGAGTGAGGTTGTAGAGCCTTGATAGTGGTGCCAGGGACATGGAAAGCTCTGTTATTACCATCTTAGTATTACCGTCTCCCGTCTCCTCACCCCCATGTCCCCACACTGACCCTGTGCTATTCTTCTGTCTTAACCACCCATCTTGTTTTCCTCGTCTTCTTGGAGAACGCCACCTGTGTCTTTCAGGACTCAGCTAAGTGTCCATCCTCCTCCGTGCTCCCATGGCCTCTTGTTCTTATTTCTGGTTGCTGTCAGAATCGGATGACATGTCTCTTTCTGTCACTAGAATGAGAAGCTCCTGGAAAGAAGGGATTAACCTGTGTTCTATTCCTCATGTTGGTCTCTCCTGTACTTACGGCTGGACCTTTGTACATGTGCTCATTACACGTCTGTTGAGTGAATTACAGGCATACCTCATTTTATTGCGTTTTGCAGACACTTTTTTTTTCTTTTTTTTTTGCAAATTGAAGGTTTGCGGAAACCCAGCATTGACTAAGTGTGTCAGCGCCATTTTTCCAACAGCATTATTTTTAAATTAAAACATGTACATTGTTTTTTAGACATAATGCTATTGCACACTCAATAGACCATAGTATAGTGTAAACATAACTTTTATATGTGCTGGGAAACCAAAAGAGTTGTGTGACTCGCTTTATTGTCACATTCATTTTATTGTGGTGTCTCGACAGAACCTGCAGTACCTCCAAGGTTGCTCTGTACTGAGATAGGAACAGTTTCTTCAGTCGTGCCTCATTCAACAGGAAGTCAGGACTCTTCACCATCCTGGCCCTTTTCCTTTGGATTTGGTGAAGTTTGCCACCATTCTTTTAAAATGTGGAGCTTAGAGTTGAAGCTGATGATCAGGAGGTATCATGGCCTCTGCTGAGGGCAGTGGGACTGAGCGCCTACCTCGTCTGTGCTCACCTGTGGTCACAGATGTAGATCTCTGCACTGTCACGTGGGGAGCATCACTGCTGTGGATCACAGCCCACTCAACCCACCTGGCCTCTGCCTTTTGTTTTCATCTCACTCTCTGGCTGATCTGCTGATGTCTCTCCTCCTGCAGCTGACCGTCTCTGTGCCGTTTTGATCCAGGGATAGTAACTTCAGAGGTAGACTAGCCATGCCAGGGGCACACACTGAAGTGTTCTCTTCCTTCTGTTACCTTCAGTAGGATTGTACCCTTCACTTTACACCAGTTTTACAAACCCAGTACTGTTCTGGGTTCTCCATGATCTGCTTCGCTTTGAGTTCTAGTAGGTGGCATCCTTTCTCAAAGATGTCCTTCCATAAAGATGTCCTTTATACCTCCTCTTCCCAGGACTCCCACCAAATTCCTGAGAAAAGGAGATCAATGAAGAGAAAAATCATCAGTAGCAATTTTCTCCAATACTCAAAACCACCTCCTGCCCCTGTGTGCTTGAAGCAACCTCTGTTCCTCTGTGCTCAGACCTGAGGGTCAGCTCCTTGTCTGGCAGCAGTTCCTCCAGCTCTTCCTGCCGACGTGAATTCCAGAAGAGATTCTTACCCTGGTTTTTTTTGTTTTTTGTTTTTAATTATCTATGATCTACCTCTCAGCTCATTACAAAGGTAGTTGAAGATCACCGTATTTTAACTATTTTATTTTAAGTTTTTATTTATCTATTTATTTTTGGCTGCACTGCACACCTTGCGGGATCTTACTTCCCCGACCAGGGATCGAACCCGTGCCCCCTGCAGTGGAAGCACGGAGTCTTGTTAACCACTGGACCTCCAGGGAAGTCCTTTACCCTGGGGTTTTGCTACACTAGTTTCTTTCTGTATCCTTGCCCACATTACTCCTCCTTTCCCTTCTTTTCTCTTCACTCTGTAGCGCGTGCTTCCTGGGAGAGCCTAGGAGGGCGTGGGTGCTGCAGGAGAGCACCTGAGTCCCCTTTAGTCCTCGTGAGCAAGCACATCTGCTGGGCGCCTGGGAGCCCCCATGAGGGATGCACTGGACATTACTTGTAAATGCCCCAGAAGCACCGGAAGTACTTAGAAGGGGGAGTCCAGGTCATGAAGAAAGTTGCCAATGCTGATAATAGGAGCAGCGGGGACTGGACTACATAGCCATGTGAATGTGGGACCACAGGGCTGTCCATGTTCTGCAGTTATTAGCATCCTAGGTTGTGGGATACTCCTCAGCGGGAGGTTGCTGGGGGATTGCTTCCTTCCTAAGTGTTACTCAATGGGGCTGAGGTAGAGCATATCTGTGTACCTCCAGTCTGGGTCAGAGGTCACTAAGGAACAGAAGTAGAACTGAGTTTACAGGGGTGGACACCCCAGCAGGGCCGGGACTAAGGTGAGGCAAGTGACGCATCCAGGGGCACTCCTCTCACTGTCCTGCCAGGGGAGGGTCTCAGGAGGCTTCTGAGAGTAAGTTCCTTGCCTGCCCTACCTGAGTCTTGACGTTGCAACCAATAAATCTATCCCGAGGAGTTGAGAGCAGATGGAAGGAAGAAGGGCAGAGCAGAAAGACATATCCCAGTGACTCTGCATCTTCTAAGTCCTGAAAGTTTCATTGTCTCCCTGGATGAGCATCTTCTTCTGGCTTTTCTCTGCAGTGGCAGAAGCCAGAGGCTGGAATTGAGGGGAGACCAAATTCAGTGTGCTTTCTCCAGCGAGGTGAGCTTTGAGTTGATGGAAAGTGAAACAACGACCAGTATTCCCTGCAACCCTTATTTAATGAAAATACATTAAATAATAAATGTAAAGTGATGACTGTTAGAATCTTGGTTACCTGGAATGATAAGTGTATTACAACAAATGTCTGTCTTAGCAAAACTCCCTGTAACACTAATGCATTTTTCTTTTCTTTTTTCACTTTCAGACAACAGTAATATAATTCCAGCTCTTCTTGGACCAAAGCTTACGCATGTTAAAGTGGAATTAGGTATATTTTGACATATATATATTTTGGATTTGCGAACGGGGGTCATAATAGTCTTCCAAGGCTAAATCTGGTTCCTTATTGATCAACATTGTGTTCATAACACATACCATGTTTACTAAGAATACTGAAAAAGCAGGAAAACCTTGTCATTGTTTGAATGTTGCCCTTTTTAGTAATAATGACAGTTAACAGTCTGTTCAAAAGATTATGGAAGTGCCTGTGGTTTGCAGACCTATGGTTTTAGTCACTTTGTATGTGGCTTTTCTCTAATAGTATCTATGATCATTTTTAAATATGAAAACTCAATGAGAATACTCTGGAGAAATGATTCAAACTTGTTGTGTGGTTTGAATATTTGATTAATGGGTTCACTTTGAATCAATGGACTCGACTCTACATTTAGGGCTTGTTTAGACAGGTCTTGATGAATCGATATGTCCAGTTGAGTAATTTCTTTCAAAAGAGAAAGGAAGGAAGGAGAAGAATAAATTCACACATATGCTAAACTGAGTATTGTATTAGGTATAACTGAAATATGTTATTGTATTAAGTCCGCAAAGCAACTCTGAGGGGTATTGTTCCCATTTAAGCTTCGGATTGAATGACCAGAGCTCAGAAAGGTTAAGTAATTTGTCTGAAGTTAAACCCCAGGAAAGGGGCAGAGCTGGGATTCAAGTTTCTTACATTGTTTGTTTGTTGTTGATTGTCATTTGATCCTGTTGATTGTTTCCAAAGCACACACCTTTTGACTACAGAGGGCCACAGTCAACTATATGACCACATATGCTCAGTGCATCTTGGATACTTTGCCATTTGTGTCTGTGGCTTGCCTGCTTTCTAGTTTTATTGATTTCTGAACTTTATTATTTTTTCTTCTCATGTTAGGCTTAATTTGCACCTCATTTTTCCTTCGTACCCATGGAGAGTTAGAGAATTAATTTAAATTCTCCTCTCCTGTAGTATGTGTATTTTAAGTTCTAAATTTCCCTCTAATCACTGTTAAGCTGTTTCCAACAATTTTGGTATGCCATATTTTCATAACTATTCAGTTCAAAGTTTTAACTATTTTTAAAATTTTTCCTTGTGATATTTGTTTCAGCTATGGATTACTTATGTTTCTTAATTTCCAAATATTTGGAGGATTTTCCAGTTATTTTTCTGTTATTGATGTCCAGTTTAGTTCCATTATGGTCCAAGAGTATACATTGTATCATTTAAATCTTAAAATTTATAGTAACTTACTTGGACCAAATGTGTATTCTGCAGATTTTGGTTTAGTCCTTCTATAAATATCAATTAGGTGAAGTTGGTTAATGGTACTCTTCAAATCATCAATATCCTTACTAATTGTTTGTGTGCTTTCTCTATCCGTTGCCAAGAGAGATGTTAATATCTCCAGCTATGATGGTCAAGTTGTCTACATATCCTTTAGTTCTGTCTATTTTTGCTTTATGTATGTTGAGGTTATCTTATGGGCACATACAAATTGATGCCTCTTGAATTGACACTTTAACATTATGAAATTTCTCTCTTCATCTATCATACTACATCTTTTCCCAATCCCTACTCTCTCTCATGTTAGATAGACACACCAGTTTTCCTTTGTTTGGGACTGGCATGTTTTATCTTTTTTCACATCCTTTTACTTTTAACATTTCATTGTCTTTATACACAAAATATGTCTCACGTAAACTGCATACATTTGGATCTTTGTTGAAATCCAGTCTGTATGGTGTTTAGTACATTTACGTTTAATGACTTACTAATACAGTTGGTTTGAGACCTCTCATCTTGCTGTTTTCCAGTTGTCCTATGTCTTATTTCTTCCTTTTATTCTCCTTTCCTTTCAGATTAATATTTTTTTTATTTAATCTGTTTTGTTTTCCTCTTAGTTATACCATTTTGTATTCTTCATTAGTAGTTCTCCTAGAGGTTACAATATATATCCTCTTACCTACAGTAAGACAAATGTACATATTAGTATGTTGACAATTTCGCAGACACCTGAGAACCTCACAACAGTTAATTTCATTCATCCTCTTATCTCACTTTAAGCTACTATTTTATGTATTTCTCTCCTGCATATGTTATAAACCTCACAATAATTTGGCATTATTATTGCTTTAAACACAAACATTATTTTGTATTTACCCAAATGTCTGTCCTTTATTGCCCTGTTCATTTCTTAATGTGTGTCCTTGCTTTCATCTGGGATAATTTTTCTTTGAGAGTGAAAAATTTCCTTTGGTATTTCTTATAGTGTGGTTATGCTGGCAATAAATTCTTTTGGCTATTATTTACTTGAAAATATCTCTATTTACCTCCAATTTTGAAGATTTTTTTTCAATAATTCTAGGTTGGCAGTTTTTTCCTGCACTTTAAAGATGCCCTTCTGTTGTTCACTGGTTTCCATAGTTTCTGCTGAAAGACTGGCCTTTGGTCTTATTGTTGGTACTTTGATGTGTCTTCTTCCTCTGGCTGCTTTCAAAATTTTCTCTTTCTCTTTGATTTTGATGCGTCCGGGTGTGGTGTTCTTTGCATTTATCCTGATTTGGGTTCCTCTGAGCTTCTCGAGTCTGCAGAGGATGTATTTAATTAATTTGGGAGAAATCCTCTGCCATTATGTCTGAATATTTCTTCTGCCCCTTTCTTCTCTCCTCTCCTGGGTCTGCAATTACATGTATTATGCTCTTATTCTGTTATTTTTATTTTTTTCCCTTCTGTACTTTAGTTTTGATCTTGGCCTGTATTCAGCCTTAGCAATCCTGACTTCTTTTATGCTCAGACTCTGTTAAAACCATTGAGTTCTTAAATTCATGTTTTTTTCAGTTATCAATTGCTCATTTGATTCTTTTAAAATAGGTTACTCTTCTTTGTTGAAAACATCCATCTGTTCATCTACCTGTCCACCTTTTCCTCTGTTTTCTTTAACCTATTTATATTAGTCATTTCATGCTCTTTATCTGCCAAGTCAGGCATTTGGATCATCTTTGGGTCAACTTCTATTACCTATTTTTTCTATTGATTACCGTCCCCTTTTTTTTGCCCTTTTGTATGTGTCTCTCTTTGCTGTTGTTGTTTGTTGCTGTTGATCTTTCTGTATCTAAAACAACCAAGGTGAATGAAGTTTGTATTACTTTTCCCTAAGAGTGTTTGCCTTTTCTTTGTTAGGCAGACAGTGTGAGGGTTTGATCATCTCAATCCAGTCAGGAATGCAAACCTGCTAAGATGCAGGTTTGTTGGATTTAACCTGCTTTTCATCTCTTATGGCTGGGGGGAGACTCCAGTCACGTGTGTGTTGTCCTCCAGTGGGACTCACTCTGCTAAGTACCATGAGACTGCAGGAGAAATCATTAGGCCTTTCCAGCCTCCTATGCTGCCCAAGCCCTTAGCAATAACCCTGTGAGCCCATGTGGCTGTTAGCATCTCCACTGGACTCTCTTTTCTCCATGAGATTCCCTCTATTTTGTACAAACCAAAGCAAATTCCTTCAAGGAATAAGATGGTGGCTATCTCAGCTCACCCTGGAAGGACTTTATTCCTGGCTGTAGTTTCAGTTCATCTGTTTCTCTTTGTTTTCCCTGCACTTTGATGTCTTTAATTTTTAGCTAATTTAATTTTTTTTTTTGTATCCATTGTGTTTTCCCAGAAGTTGCAGTGGGTATGTAGGCCTGACACTACCTATTAGACTATAGGTTGCAAAGAAAGTCCACTGGCCATCCTAAGTTTTAATAATTGATTTAGACATAAACATTTGAAGAGAAGCCAGTTCATAGTTTGGTGATGACTTGTAATTGCAACCTAATTTCTCTGATTTATAATTTTTTTTAATTGCAAAACAAGGCATTTTTTTCTTAGATGCAGCTCTATATTATCATTGTATATTAGGTTAATATACATTGGCCGTATTAATTTCAACCTTTGAGGAACCTGAGTTTCTAAAATCTGAACGTCGGTTGTCAACTTTTACCTAGGACAAGATGTACAGCTCAACTGCTCTGCTTTGCTGAATGAAAAGGATGTGATTTACTGGAACATCTGGAAAAAAAATGGAAAGGATCCTAATGTACACGAAGAGGAAGGGACAAGAACTAGGTATGAATATGTGATAATATATATAATACGTATCATGATATACAAAAATCATATAGTATCATATATATATGAGATAAAAACACCAGACTCCTGAATGGCTGATAGGATGCTTGAGATGAGTTTAACTTATAATTATAACTTACATATTTCATAATTTGCATCCTCTAGGCTGACGCATTATACAGAAATTTATTGCTGAGACCTAAACTAGAAAAAGAAGGTCAGGGCTTCCCTGGTGGTGCAGTGGTTGAGAGTCCGCCTGCCGATGCAGGGAA